CAGTAAATCTTTCATACCTCACGCAATAGCTCTCTACAGTTAACACATCTGTCTGGCAAAGCATCACCTCATGCTAACAGTTTATTTCAAGACTGTGCTGTCAGAACACCTTACACTCGTACACTTACCCACTGTATGTCCTCTGATTTTTGCTTTACTACAGTCAGTAAGCTAGTTTAAATTCTTATCTTTGACATGTTTTACTTAGCTGTACATTATTATTTCATGCTTTTTCCCCCACCTACACCAGACTGACAACCTGTCCTGAATGTACCCTGGCTCTTGCCCTGCAACTGCTTGGATAGTCCCCAGCCCTCAATGCACCTGAAGTGGATAAGTCGAAGAAAGCAAATGGATGGATGGATGGATTTCTATTTCAGTTCACTTTTTTAAAAGTATTTATTTTCATTCCAGGTTAGTTATTGTTTGGTCATGTCATAGTCTGTTTTGTTAAGCTTGTATTCTGTGTTTGTTTGGGATAAAGTTTATCCTATCTTATTATCCCTATTGTGACATACTACTGCCCTTTTCTCCATAGTTACGTGAATTTCTCAATTATTGGAGTAATAAACAGATAGTTCGACAGGACTAGCTATTTGAAATCTATGATTTAGTTGAAATTCTTCATTATTCAGCTACATCTTTTATTATAGCCAAGTTTATTAGTTTTTTCAGTAGCCCTTTCGCTGTGACGAAAAGCCTAATACTATGAAGATACGGATTTTTTTCTGGATAGTTTTTTTTTTCTGTAGTCCTGTGCGAGAACTACAAATCTTAGAACATCCTGTAGAGTATCATGTGATCATCGAAGGGGCGGAGTTAAACGTAGTTTCGCTCTGGACCTCCGCCGGGTAATTTTGTAGCTGTAGGCAGCTTATTACGGTGCAGAGAAGGTTTGTTGTGGCATTGTAATTTAGCATTATTTAATTACATTTTATGAGCGAACAGAGACGTGGCCCCCTGGTGTGTGGCAAACCGCTGATTTCTCAAACCTTAAGCGTATTTTGTGGAAATGTTATGTTAGCTAGCTTACAGCTAACTTGGCTAGCGTTGTTCAGTAAAGTTAGCTGTGGTTGTTAAAGTGATGCTCCCACTGTGGGAAGCTAGAGGACGAGCTCTCGGGTTTAACCTTCGTGTGATGATAAAAGGTGGTTTCACAACATGATCTGTGATTGGAGGGATTCAGCTGATTTAAATCACTTACGAGGCTCTCCTCGTATGGCACTTGCTTGCTCATTGTGCGAGTTATGCTTGGAGTCTCCCGGTAAATGCCAGAAGGCCTGTGCTGTGTTGTTTGAGCTGCTTTTTGTTTGGCTGCATTGATTTAGGTCACACCTGCCTGGATGCTGCTTATCTCTGTAAACAAAGCCAGCACTTGCCCGTCTGTACTGTATCAGTTTTCACTCTGACCCTGTCTTATCTTTCTTTTCTTTTTTTTTTTTTCTTACAGTAAATCAGGTCAGAGGCTTAAAGCCGCTGGATTTAAGTGGCAAAAGGCTTTATTTCTTTGACCTCCATCACCATTACCTCAGGGACGACAACCACTGTGAAGAGGTTATTAGCTTCACTTGTTTCCTGATTAACCTCTGTGTCATCTTGGGTAAGAGTTAATTCTGCTGTTATTTAATGTACGTCTAAATATCCAAGGGATATTTATGTTTTGATGTCGGTAGTATTTGACAGTAAGTCAAACACCATAAACAGACTTAGTTTTATGATTATGGAACTGATATGATTATTACAAACACTTTATTGTAAGTTAGGTTTTGTGGACTCTTAAACACTAATCTAGGTAAACTGCTTTTAATAGTGTAATGTATTGGGCTCATTCTTCGTCAGCTGACCCAGAGCATCCAGCCTGATGATCTCCAATTTCCTTGAAAAACTTCCCCTGATGATAGAATTATTTAGTCCTGAAGTCACAGTAGTAGATATTTGGCCTATAAATTAGAATGACATAGTGTAACTACTTCTCGAGCTTCAGGGCAGTCAGAGGTGGTCAGGCTGGGAAATGTTCTTAAATTTGGTTATGTCAGTTGTCATGTAACGATCCATATGGAAAAAATGTCGCTCTGCTCCCAAGATGGTAAATAGCAAATGGATGTACAGCGCTTTTCTATTCTACCTGAGCACTCAAAGCACTTTATACAACTTGCCTCATTCACCTGTTCATACAGGCACTTTTTTCTATGCTTTTTCTACTGAAGTGCTTTCTGTCTAACATTCATGCATATTTATACGAGAAACTTAGGGTTAGTATCTTCCCTGACGATACTTGGCATTAATACTGGAGCAGCCAGGGATCAAACCACCAACCCTCTGATTAGTAGATTACTTGCTCTACCTCCTTTTTTAATTTAGTTTTTTTTATTTAATATTGTGAGATAGATGACAAAAGGGAAAAAAAGCATCTGTCAGCAGGAAGGTACAGAAACTACCAGGTTTGATTTGAAGTTGCTTTGTTGAGAGACAGTGCATGACATTTTTATTCAGGATAGTGAGACAGAACATTTTTCTTGGCAGAGGATGTGTTTCTGAATGTCCTTTTAGCTCTTGTACGCTATTAATTTTGTTTGGATCTCGAGTGCCGCAGTGAGCAATGCAGCTGTACGGCTTCTTTTAATTATCTTAAAATCAGCACTCTACCTTGACAGCATATAGATTAAAAATTATGGAGCATGATAATACTTTTTAATGTGACTATACTGCTTGTTAAATGCTTTGTTCTGATTTTTTAGGGTTAAGTAGGTGTCAGGAAACATCATATCTCTAAGTCACTGGAGAAGATGGAGACAGCAGGGAATGTGTCCAATGGTGCAGGGCCTGTGAATGAGCAGAAAGAAAAGACCCTCAGGTAAAGCTGCTTCCAGTAACATAGTAGCTGTGTTAATAAGATTTGAAATTAATAATCCTGCTTCGGTTTTGTCACATACGCAACAAACCAAACTTCCTTTCTTTCTCCAGGCCAGAGGATCTGTCTGAGATGCTGGCAGCAGGGACCAAGCAGATTCACGAAAAGGCTGAGAACACTCAGTTTGTGAAAGATTTCCTCAGGGGTCGCATCCGCAAAGAGCTCTTCAAGGTGAGTGTCAAGAAAAAAGGTAGATGACGTCCTTTTTTTTTATATAGAAGACTACTTCACAAAGCAAAGCCTGCAAATAAATGTGTTATAGAAAACTGGTGGAAACAAGAACACAAAGCAGACAGCTCATGTTACACTTGTGCTTGAAGAAGGGCAGAAAAAGTGTCTTTTACACCAACTTTTCATGTTTGTTTCCCAAAGCTTGGTGCGGTGGCGCTTTACTACACTTACACGGCCCTGGAGGAGGAGATTGAAAGAAACAAGGATCACCCCCATTTTGCTCCTCTTTATTTTCCCGCTGAGCTGCATCGCCACGAAGCTCTGGCCCGTGACCTCGAATACTTTTACGGTCCAGAATGGAAGAGCCACGCAAGCTGCTCAAAGGCCACCCAACAATATGTGGACCGCATCCATCAAGTAGGGCAGGAGGACCCAGTGTTGCTGGTTGCACATGCCTACACTCGCTACATGGGGGACCTATCTGGTGGGCAGGTGCTGAAGAAGGTGGCACAGAGAGCCTTGAAGCTGCCGCCCACAGGAGAGGGCTTAGAGTTCTACCAGTTCGATGCCATCCATAGCGCCAAAGCATTCAAGCAGCTGTATCGAAGTCGGATGAATGAGCTGGAAGTGGACATGGAAACAAAGAAGAGACTGGTGGATGAGGCTGTGAAGGCTTTTCTGTTCAACATTGAGGTGAGAGGCCAAGCAGAAGGTGCGGTTGTTTTCCACTTTGTGGAGTTTTCTGATAGAAGTCTTAAACCTCAGTTGTTGAACAAGTGTGTCTCCAGTTCACCTGTTTATACACAAACGCATTCAAGCACCATTGGTGGTGGACGGGCAAGGTGTTCTTCTGTTTCAGTAGTGTAATAAATCGGGGATCCAGCCATCAACCTTATGAGTTTTGCTCTTTCCAAGTATTTGAATTACTCATAGATGTTTCATCTATCTGTGTTATCCAGCAACAAATTGTAGACTTCATATTTCAACCTCACATGCTTCACGTTCGTTCTGGCAGGTGTTTGAGGAGTTAGAAGAGATCGGCAAAACCATCCAGGAGGATGTTTTAGATGCTGGCATGCCCGTTCATGGAGCAATGGGTGGAGACATCAGCAAATGTCCCTATTACAATGCCAAAATGGGTAAGTGTACTGCCTTTGTAAATATATGTAAGTGATACCATTTCTTGTCACTATCTAAGCTTGTGTCCGGACCTCCTTTGTGTCACAGCGGCATCAGGTGGAACAGCATACGTCCGTCAGCTGGCCATGGCTGCTCTCAGACACCCGACAGGACAGGTCCTCTTTGCTACTTGGTTTGCTGCCTTGGCTGGACTGGTTGCGTGGTATCTGATGTGATCTGTCGCTCCGTCTGCCACTCTGCTGCTGTGTGAAAAGAGGACTGTAATAGGAAGGACAGTAAAGGACACTGAGATCTTTCCACGAGATGTGGACCGTGTCATAGCTTGTGGTCCAAGTTTATTTATTGTTACATATTGCATAATAATGTAAGCTTATAAAAATATGGAACAGTTAAATTCAAGCAAAATGATCTATAGCAGCGGTCTCCAACCTTTTTTGCGCCACGGACCGGTTTATGCCCGACAATATTTTTCACGGACCGGCCTTTAATGTGTCGCGGATAAATACAACAAAATAAAACTAGTACCAGTACCGAAAAAAAAGATTTATAAAGATTTATTCATAACACACGTGAAAAGACCCAGGAAAACAGAGTTGACATCTAAACAATAACAAAACCGATAAAAACCCTGAAAACCATACATTTCACACCTGAGCCTCAACTCTCGCGGCCCGGTACCAAACGACTCACGGACCGCTACCGGTCCGAGGCCCGGGGGTTGGGGACCGCTGATCTATAGGACCAATATAATTCCATCCATCACGCTAGATTTATTCATCTTTTAAATTCTCTACCTCCTCCTGCACTATCCCTCCAATCTGTGTCCTTCCAGTTGCAATTGGTCGTATCTCGAGACCTCATGTAGATCTCCTATTTTCTTACTGAAGTGACATTTATTTCATCCCACAACTGTATCTGGCTGTTTAGTATTTATTCCTTAATAATAAATTAAACATAGAGTGAGTTAATTGTGTGATTAGTAAAGTTCGCTGTGCACTTTAGATTTCTACTGAAGCCTTTAGTAAGAAGATTATTTGGAAGTGTAAACTTTGACTCCTCGTATATAATTATCTTCATTTCTTCACAGTAATTCAGTTGCAAAGTTAATGGAAAACCCAAATTTCATTAACCCATTAAGCTTCAGCTTCAAATATTTCCAAAAGGTTTGTTCTTTGAGACGGGCGATAGCAGTTAAAAGCTTGATTAATAATCAGTCTTCACATACTAATAACATATACAGGATATTTTAATCTCTCCTGGTGCATGTTCACTTGTATAATTTCTCTGTTTTCAGAATTATGTGACAGTGCACCTTGTATTTGTTCAAAAAACCAAACAAACCTGCCTGTTGGTTTGATTGCAGAGCTTAACTATCCAATATGAATAATTCACTGTAATAATTCAGCTTTACTGGCAAACGGGAGCCTATATTAGGACAGAGGTGCGTGCGGCTGTTTTAAGAGGAAGATTGTATTTTTGTACTAATGACGCTTCATCCACATTCTTTCATGAGATGAATTTGTGTGAGAATACCTTCAGCAGCTCAGCACTTATTTATGTATCCATTCGTTCTGAATGCATCAGTATGGGTTGTGAATCTACAAAGTGGGATGATCACCTATACTGAGTTTTATTTTGTTTTGTTTTTTTAAGCACAGAGAAGTATGTACTGTATGTATTTTGTGGTTGAAGTAAAATCTTTATCCTAACACGGTAACGGTATTTTTTAACTTAAAGCAGTTGAGGCACAGAGAACCAAAAAACAACAACTTGCTGATAACAAAGTTTATCCAGCACGTTCATTACATAAGTGGATGTGCAGTATTTTTTGATGACAGGTGGCTTTATGCATCATATATGGAGGACAAATACAGGGATAGGCTGATACGCTCCTGTAGTTTCCATGTAATACCATTTTATAATGCTAGTGTCAAAATGACTCAGTAGTTTTGGACCTATTACCATAGATTAAACTTAAAGTGTGTGGAGTGATTGCCTGAGTCATGTGTATTTCTGATTTTCTTGCATTTTCATTGACTCTGCTCTTAATCCTTATCTGTATCTAACTGGAGCTTTACTAGTAACTGGCTAGAGTAATCTCTTTGTATGAGAGTGGGGAAAAACTGTACGTTATGCTTTCAGTAATGAAAAAAGACATTTTTTGTTTTCATGAAGAAATAAAACAAATTCTTTTTGACTCATATTTGCTCATTTGTTTGTTTGCCTTTTCTATCATACAGCTACAGTAATTATACGGTTTTGGGTAAAACATTAGATGGATTTGCTGTATGCATTCATTGTCACCTACAGGTCTAATAACAGCTTTGATAATCCCCAGAATTCTGATATCAAAACTGGCACTCGTGTTCAGTATTCCACAAATTTAATTAAGCCTCTATGAACTTTCATTTCTCACCTACATTGTAAATATAACCAAATGCATTCTGCCTAATCCAAAGTGCAACTCTGGTTGTGCTTATTGTGCCTGCCTGTATTAATCCTGCTGAGTAATCGCTTCAAAGGAAAAGAAGGGAGTTAAAATGTCCTTCAAAAACTACTTGAGAGAACATGTTCTACCAGAGGAGATGAATTGTAGGTGCCAGGTTATGTTACTCATAGTACCATCACTCCACAAAACGAGAGAAAACAGATGGACGGTACACCTGCCTGTTTGGATTTTGAATTAAAGTTTAATGTAGGTACACCTTTGAGAGATGCTCCTTTATTTTCTCTCATCACCTTTTTGTTGCACAGGGTAATGTAGACACTTTGTGTGGGAATGAGTTCACTCATTTACACATAAAACAAAGTGAATGAGCTGATTACTCATACATAAGACTAAAAAAGGATATAAAGAGTCAGAAAAAAGTGAATTTCTACAGTTTTGGCTGATTGCACACACTAAATCCTTCATCTCCATGGAACACTGGCTCTGCAGGATCTTCTTTCTCATCCTGCTTAAAGTGTGTGTGTGTCTCTCTCCAGCAGTAATAGTGTTTTGGTACCCTGCTGTTGTCTTTGTTTTTGAACCATACAGTATTATCAATGAAGGATAGAGATTGATTTGATGAGATATTTGCAATTTCACAGGGTTATTATAGAAGATTAGTCAACCCTAAAATCAACAACACGAAGCCTTTCATCTGCCTGTAGAGGACCAGAGCTTGAGAATCACACAAATTCCATCCCTGAGGGGGTATGAGGCAAAATTAAAACTAGATCTGAAAAACAATATAAAAACTAGACTTTCAGGGGAAAAAAAAATGAACTTGAAAAACAGAGGAACTCTCTTTAGTGTTAGTTTCTCTTAGGTTATAATATTATCTAAAATTTTTACCAATTATTTCTTACAGCTATGTAGTAGCTGTGCTGTTAATACCTGTACTGACTTTCCTAAATCTTGCCTCTGACAAATGCCCTCCACACAATAAAAAGATGACAATGTCAACAAAAAGTGAAAATGTAAAAGTGCCAGAGCTGTAATGCATCTGTGTTTACAGGTGTACCTAATGAAGTGATCAGTGCATATACAAAGACATGTTAAACATTAAGGTGCAGACAGAGTCAAAGCATTGTGAACTTTATTTTTTCTGTACTTTACATAAAAGTTTTTTTCTGGGGCCTAGCTTTATTAGAGCTGTACAGTATCTCTCCTCTATTTAGCACATTGATGCTTTAATGTATGCTCTACAGCTGTTTATGTACATGTGGACTGTGGTTGAGGGTTAAAAATCAATTTCTCTCTCATAATGCAACATGACAGATCAGAATAAATCAGTTTTCACAGTTCAGGAAAGTCTGACTTTCCACAGTTCGAGCTTCTATGATAATTCTGAGACTTTTACTTTCCACTGTTGACACACCTCCAGCCCACCACAGCAAACTTTATTTTGATGTTTATCCTGTCAGGTCTGGCAGCGCTGAGGAAACGGAGAAGCCCAAGCATGAAAACACAACTGATGCATACAGAACTGAAAGATTAATAACAGGATTGTTTAACCCTGAATAAAACTTTAGACTGCACCTGAACTCTTTGTGGATACAATAACTTATTTGTGCGCATGTGGATGCTGTTATCACCGTTATGTTTCTCTTCTGATAAAGAATAGAAAATCAACATTGAAATGAGAAATTACAAGTGTTTGCTATCACCATTGCTTCTATGGATGCTCGACAGAGAGGGGACTGGTCTCTTGTTCCAGGATCCACTTTGGCAGAGGTACAAAGTGCATAATCTTCTTGGTTTTTGATACAGGGCTGGGTAGGTAGGTCTGTAATACTCCATTCAGAACTACAGTTGTCCAAATCCCAGTATTCCTCTTTCCGTTGTCCTCATACTTGTCTTCTGACACACTGATGGAGGCTCTCAGTTCATGGAAGATCTTTTACCTTGAAAAGGAAGCAAAAAACAAACAAAAAAAGAACTTAAGACAACAAGAAAAACAGCCAAATTGAAAAGATAAAGAGCAGACACCTGATACATCCCTAAACTGGCTAAATGCACTGTGTTCTTATGCGACAGCCACAAACCAGATAACAAAGTATTAAAAAATTATATTAAAAAAAAAGTTTACTGTTTGTGAACAACAGCACAAGAAAAAGTTCAGTGGGAGATGAACATAAATCAGTAACCAGTCCTACCTGGTTTGTGGCTGTCAGGAAGAACTGAATAATTTCCTTAATTTGGAGAAGAAGCCAACTTGTTGATTCAACTCTGCCTTGTTGTCATGTTTTCTTTGCCCTGCCTCAGACCGCCTACCACTGCTGCCCCCACCTGGACAGAGATTGATACTCCATCAGCCAGGTTTATCAACTAGGCAGAAAATCCTTTCCTCAATCTTATTTCAGTGGACCAGAAGTACACAGCAAAAAACACAGAAGAAGGTAGAAGTAGGTAATGAAAAAAGCAGGAAACCAGATGAAGCTGTCTGTGTACCTGTGGTGGTGGCAGTGACACCGTTTACCGTCCCCTCTATGTCCGTCTCATCCTCAGCGTAGCTCATCAACAGAGCTCTTTGTCTATCTGTGAGATTCCTGTACAGGAAAACAAGGTTTTAGCTTTATTGTGATTTAATACATTTTTAAATTACACTGCAAGGATGTCAGTGCAGTCTTACTTGGGTATTTTAATTTTGACGTGGATGTAGTGATCTCCAAAGCCATAGCCACTGACTCGAGCAATTCCCTTCCCTGACAGGCGGATCCTCTGGTCTGTCTGGATGCCTGCAGGGATCTAAAGACAAATCCAGTCAATTGTTACACTGAATGTGTTTGAAATGTTGCCCAAAATTGTTGTTATTCGGGTACAAAGAGTTTCTACTTACAGATAAATTCAGAGTTTCATATAGGCCCTGTGTTCTCGCTGTGCCGCCCAGGATGGCTTGCGCCACGGATACGTAAAGGTCAGAGTGGATGTCTGCGCCGTCCCTCCTGAATATGGGACTTTTTTGGACCTGGTCACAATCACACAACAGTCCCATTAAAGAGGCTCAGAAGGAAACCCTTCTGGAAAGTCTGGCTATGAGAT